ACCTCGTCAGTACGACGACTGTGGTAACAATATATTTTTTGTTAAGAACGAAAAATAATTGAAGTGAAAAGGAATTAAGTAATGGTAAAAATCTTGAAATAGGGAAATAGAAAAATTAAACGGATGGAAATGCAGTGGTGGCGAGGGGACGAGTGGAAGGAGAAAGTGATAGGGGGAAAAACTGATGTAATAAGTAGTGCAACCCGATTCACGAAACCGGGATGAAAAGGGCAAAATTGGGACAAGAAAGTGAACAACTTAGCTAGAATAGGCATCATTTAGCTTATAAATGTGAAATTGTGTTAGAAAAAACGGAAAAATAGAAAAAAAAAATTTGATACAAGGGAACTGGAGGAGGGCGGAAAGAAGAGGCAGAAGGAGATGGTAACATTGTGCGTCTTTTTTGATGAGGTCTTCTTCTAGGCTAAAGCCGGCAAAACTCGATTTTTTTTTTTTTTATGCGTTTTGTGCTGTGTAACATCAGTACAACTTTCAACTCGGAAACCACAAAAACTAGGAAACTGAAAATTCAGGGTAATGACCCTTTGCAAATTCAAATTCAGCGTCTACGCGCTCTTGGGTATCACCTACGGCCTCATGAAAATTTTGGCAGGTGAACTATTATCTCGGGAATCATGAAAGGATATTCACCCTCCGAGGTTTCAAATTCAAGGTTTCATGCGTCAGTGCATAAAATTTTTAACTGTTTTTCAACGTTTCAACTATTTTTGCACAGGCTAAAGTATAAAGCAGTGAAAATCATTAATAGGCAATCGTTCGGTGGGCGGAATTTCATAAAACTCATGATCGTAGCGGCTAGTCTGGTGCGCGTTGCTACTTATTAGAAACTGATTTTGCCATGGAACAGAAGACCTAAGTTTTAAATACTTGTATTTTGAATAACTGGGGCCAGCAGTGGTTTTTAGTTGCGACTCTCAAGTTACGCAGCTGGCAACTTTTCCAGTTACTCTGACCAGTGCTGTATCGCTTGTTGGTTGTACTGATTTTTGTTCCGTTTTCTGAAAGAGTTACCAGCTTTAACGGTTTCCCAACAACTGTAGCCTTTTCGAACTGTCCCTGGTATGTGTTGAGCATCATCACCTGCCCTCAAACGCTGCCATTCCTAATTAGGGATGGGACGGATACCTTACCGACCCCAGTTATTTTGAATAGGTTATGCAAAATTGTTGTCTGAGTTGGAACATTCTTCCCCCTCCATCTCAAATCGGATTCTTTGTCTGTGTTTGGGGCTAAGAGATGAAACACAGATAGCAAACTTACATATACCTTATAATATGTAATTTCCAATCATCTTCCTGGGCATAAATTGTTAATTGGTCCGATTTAATTGCAAATTATCGACTAAACATAGCACTGTCATTTAATAATTTACGCCATAATTGTGATACTGACGAGGTCCAGTTGTGGCGATGAGTTGAACTGCACAATTTTTTTGGACCAAAACATTTTAATGTCGGATAAACTGTTAAATTTTATGCGTACTGTAGGTTCCAGTTTTTAATGTTTCCAGTTTACTTCAATGTTACCTAGCAATGATCGGTGAAATAGCTCAGTTAAATTGCTTTAAACTGTAAAATTACTTAATTTCCAATAACAAATATATATTAACACCGGTTGTTGCAGCATCGTGACGCCGTTCATTTTCATCCTGTCGTGCCTATCGTTTTCCGTTTACGGGTTTTATCGAAGTGTGGTATTGGTTGGCCGATTTTTTGGCCAGTTTATTGTCTCCTATATCCAGCTTTTTGCTGGACTTGCATTCTTCCTCAGTGCTGCTGCCGCAACTTTTTTCGTAGAGGAAAAGTGAGCTTCTGTTTTCAGTGCTACTGTAAAAATCATTATATTTTAAAATGGTTTTCCAATAACTTCTTTTTTCTGAAAATCATTATAATTCAAGTTGGTATCGTAAAATCTGTTTTCAAAATACCATGATTTTATGCTCAGCCTCCGAATTCTAGATGAAATAGATCAGATAAAGCGAATTCCAAATATACCACAGCAAACTGAAATGTATATTTGGACGGTTGGAGAATTGATGGGCTTATGTAAAGTCATGAATTGAAAAAAAAACCAGGCTGGAAATGCTGGAACGCCTGGGTTTTTTTCACTTCATGACTTTACGTAAGCCCATTAATCCCCTCCCAGCTTTCCTGGTTGCAGAGATGAAATTGGGTGACAAAGTGCACTCGCTTCTGAACACACACACACACACACACACACACACACACACATAGCCTCTCGACAGTATGCGTTTTTGTTGACTGTAACACAGCAAAAAAAGCATAAAAATCGGAAATTGAAAGACAGGGCGACAACTGTTCTAATCGGGGGGATTCCATAACTGTGTCTGGAAGGCTATTCTCCAAACAAATAGTCAGCTTGAATGCAAGTTTCTGATGTCCGGATCTCTGGAACCTTGAATTATGTCTTCGTTCTTCTTCTGTCGATTCTCTTTCTGTGGTGCTCTTACATATAGTTGGGTAAAAAACGTCAAATATAACTGGCTGTAACCAGTGGAGAGATAACTGGTCCCAGTAGATCTGTGAAAAAAATGATCCAGTCGTTCTCGATCGCTCTCCAGTTGGTGCCTTAACCATAGGTAATTAAACAACACGGAGCATGGTATAAAAAATCAATACTACACAAATAATACATGCATAGCATAGCAAATTACATAAGTGGAAGCAAAAGAATGACCAGCGGCCACTACTGATCTACGGTACCGCTCAGAAGTTTTGCGAGTCGTTAAAATGAAAGCAGTGGAGAATGATAGAACTAAATGCTTCGTGATAGGCACAAACGCCGACTGTTTTTTTATTGCTATTTATCCCAAGAAATACGTAACTTCTCGACAAAAGCGACAAAGGAGAAGATTAAAATGAGGGGGAAAAATGAGGAGGTGGGAGGGGAAGGGGAGGGTTTCTCCAGTTGAAGTATGTCCCTGTTCGACAGTGAATTTTTTTTTTGCGCTAAAACACCAAGAAGTTGAACGATTCCAGCACATCGGACGAGTGGCGTGTGATATTCTTATTGCTGGCAGCGATTATTTTAATTTCGGCCGCTGTATTTGGAGTGTTTGGGAGTGCTGTGCCTGAGGACTGGTCAAAAGATAGCTGGGATCCGTCAGTGGCTCGACCAATGATTACTTTCGACCAAATTGATTACTACACGGATGAATGTGGTATTCTTGAAATGAAGGTTTTGAGGTGATGATATAGCGTTT